TACAGGGAAGACTTCAGCAACATCAGCAGGTTTTGGAAAACAAATGAGATCTCAGTTGCAAATAATTGTAGAAGGTTTTGCAAAAAAAAAAGTAATTACTTCATCCTTTGACAAATGCATAACAGTTATGTAAGTGATATTTACCAAACCACACTCAGTTGACTTTTTAATGCTGACAGTGGTAAACAGTTCGAGACTTAATGGGAAACTGCTTAGTTCTGAGATAAAATTGAGGATTTATTATCAGGCAATTTTTTTTTTCTTAAAGAGAAGTTTTTTTTCTTAAAGAGACTGGCAATCGCCTCCTGAAATGTGGGTGGAGTTTGCATTTATATAGCACCTTTGACCATCTCAGGGTGACCCAAGGAGCATCAAAGTGGTGCGCTTACTTTTGAAGTTGCCTTGGCCATGTAGATATTTCTAGCACAGCCAGTCACTGAAGGTTGGTATGCAGCAGGCAGTGAGGAAAGCTAATGACACGCTTTCCTTCATAGCGAGAGAATGTGAGTATTGGACTAAGGATGTCTTGTTGCAGTTATACAGGGCTTTGGTGAGGCCACACCTTGAATATTGTATGCAGATTTGGTGTCCTCGTCTGAGGAAGGACATTCTTGCTATTGAGGGAGTCCAGCGAAGGTTCACCAGGCTGATTCCCAGGATGGCAGGACTGACATATGAGGAAAGACTGGATCGACTGGGCTTATACTCGCTGGAATTGAGAAGTATGAGGGAGGGGTTTCTCATAGAAACATATAAAATCCTGATGGGACTGGGCAGGACAGCTGGGGGAAGAATGTTCCCAATGTTGGGGAAGTCCAGAACTAGTCTAAGAATAAGGTTTAAGCCATTCAGGACTGAGTGGAGGAAGAATTTCTTCACTCAGAGAGTTGTGAACCTGTGGAATTCTCTCCCACAGGAAGCTGTTGGGGCCAGTTCATTAGATATATTCAAGAGGGAGCTGGACGTGGTCCTTACAGCTAATGGGGTCAAAGGGTATGAGGAGAAAGCAGGAATGGGATATTGAGATTGCATGATCAGCCATGATCATATTGAATGGTGTTACAGACTTGAAGGGGCGAATGGCCTACTACTGCAACTATTTTCTATGTTTCCATGTTTCATACAGTACAGAAAGGGCCTTCAAGTCTGCAGCTCATAATGACCATTAAAAGCATGCTAATCCCAATTTCCTGCATTTGTCCCATATCCTTGAATGTTACGATATTTCAAGTATTCATTCAAATATTTATTAAAGGTTGTAAGGTTTCCAGCCTCCACTACTTTCCCAGGCAGTGAATTCTAAGTTCCTATCACCCACTGACTGAAAAGATTTTTTTTCCCCAAATCCCTCCTGAACCTCCCGCCCCTTACCCTAAAACTATGCCCTCTCATGACTGACTTGTCAACCAAGGAAAACAGCTGCTCTCTCTTCACCATATCCATGTACCTCATAATCTCATACACCTCAATTATGCCTCCCTTCATTCTTATCTGGTCTAATAAAAACATCCCAAGCCCATCTAGTCTCTCAGAGGTCTAAAGAATTTGGTATATACTCAGGATGGGGCACAGGATGATGGCAATTAGTGATGGGATGTGGCAAGGTAGATATAAACTGGATAGGCTAAGTAAGGGCAGGTCTCCTTCATGACAGGAGAACATTGGAACAGGAGCAGCCCTCAAATTTGAGCCACCACTCAATTATTAGATCACGGCTGATCTGGATCTTAATTCCAGACACCTGTCTGACTTTTGTAACCTTTAATTCTCTCTCCTAATCAAGCAATTTTATTCATGAAATTCTCAGCTGACTTATGGCATCCAGCTTTCTTGGTGGTGCAGTCCAGATTTGACTGCCCTTTATGCAAAAAAAACACTTCCCAGTATCACCCCTGAATGGCCTGGCTGTCGTTATAAGGTGAAGTTATTTTGTCTGGACTCCCATGCCCCACCCTGACACAGAGGAAATTGTTTTTCTCTGATGGACCTATCAGCTCTTAGTCATTTTCAACACCTTGATTAAACCTTAATCTTCCATTTTTCTAAGTAATATAAGACTAAGCTTAAGCTGGAGAGGCTTCAGAAGAGATTTACCAGGATGTTGCCGGGTATAGAAGATTTGAGTTATAAGGAAAGGCTGTACAGGTTGGGACTTTTTTTCACTGGAGCATAGGAGGTTGAGAATAGACTTGAAAGAAGTTTATAAAATAATGAGAGGTATAGATAGAGTTGATGGTAGTTGTCATTTTCCTAAGATGGGGAATTTCAAGACCAGGGGGCACATTCTTAAGGTGAGAGGAGAGAGATTTAAGAAAAGACATGAGGCAAAATTTTTATAGAGGGTGGTTCGCATGTGGAATGAACTTCCTGATGAAGTGGTGGATGCAGGTAAAATTACAATGTTTAGAAGATATTTGGATGGACATGTGAATAGGAAAAGTTTGGAGGGATGTGGGCCAGGAGCAGGCAGGTGGGATTAGTTTACTTTGGGATTATGTTTGGCATGGACTGGTTGGACCAAAGCGTCTGTTTCTGTGCTCTATGGCTGTATTCTATCCCTGATATTAACCTGGTTAATCAGAGTTGCTTGGGATCTGCTAACTGCTAATTGAATTAGCTTTACTGTCACATGTACTCAAACGAATACTGTGAAAAGTTTACAATTATGGCGCCATCTTAGGTACAAAGGCCCTTAAGCACAGATTCTTAAGAACAAATTCTTAGGGGAAAAAATTAGAAAAGTAAATAAATAAGAAATCCAGCATTACAGATCATACAAAACGAAAAGAAAAGTAAAGAAATAAAATGTTCAGAATAATCATCTTTCCAACCCAATCCATGTTGGCACCTAACCTCCAGTACCTGCCATTAGACCTCCTCTGCCTTGCTATCGCCTCCAGATTGTACGGATCACAGGCCTGGAAAGTGGTCTGCAAGAATCCACAGTGAAACTCTGTAGCACATCTCCCAGATGGCACACACTGCTGCCACTGAGCGTTGGTGGTGGAGGGAGTGGATGCTTAAAAGGGCACAGCTGCTGGATTCACCTTGGGGACCTGGTCATTCTTCTCTGCAGTTGCTACCGATTTGAAACTCGAGGGGAGCAAGAAATACCAGCAGGAGCACTGTACCAAACCGTGTTGGCGTCTGCTCTCTTGGCCTTCCCAAATACAAGCCGGTGATGCCAATTTTTATTAAGGGACAGGGTTGAGGTGACAATCAGCCAGGAAGAGTGAGGAAAGAAGAAATGACAAGAAGACAGCAAAGAGAGCTCGCTGGGAGGTAAAAACATTGGTCAACCTCAGAACAACGCTAAACATCAGTGCCAGCTGCAAAATGAACTCCCACTTGCAAATCAGCCCCCATAGCCACAACAGATAACTTACAATCTATAAGAGGCATATATTCTGGCCACAGTCTATCATCATGGATACCATCATGGCTGAGGTGTGGGGCACCTCTAATATTTAAGACAGAGCTGAACAGGATACATTAGGTGTTAGATGGATTTGGGTTCTAAAGTGAGTGAAGTTCTGTTGCGCTGACTGATCAATTGAGTAGTTTTGAGTAGCCGACGTGAAGGCACACAGGATGCCAGATGGGAGAAAATCGCACCATTTACCTGCTTGTGCACTGCACTTTTATATAAGATATGTAATATAGGTAAAAGTCCACTGTTCCCTTCTAACCACTGTGGACTATACATCTAAGTTGGGGAAGCAGTGAGGTAGTAGTAATCACAATGGACTAGCAATAAAATAAAAGCAATCCTGAACCACAGGCTAACATTCTGGGAATCCCACCATGGCAGACGGTGAAATTTGAATTTGTTAGGGAAATGTGGAATTAAAATGCTAGCTTAGTGGCAACCATGTAACACTGTCATAAAAACTTATCTGGTTCATTAATGTCCTTTTGGGAAGGAAAGTTGCCATTCTTACCCTAGTCTGGTCTACATGTGACTTAAGACACACAGCTATATGGGTGACACTCAACTGCCCTCTGTTCAATTAGGGATGGGCAATAAACACTGGCATAGCTAGCAACACCCAAATACTATGAACAAATATATAATAAAACGTACAGGGGCTGATAATGAGACATAGTCATGGGCCATACGGATCCAGACTGGAACTAATCATTCCCTTTTACTCACAATGTTCGAAACATTTGAAGGAACAAACTGATATATACACTACTCCAGACAGGAGTGAATTGTTTTCACAAGATGTGTACAGGAACATATACAGGAGATGACACCAAGACATATGCAGTGATGGAAAGGAGTGAATCATTGCCTTTTACCTGCTTTGTACTGCCCTTGTACTAGAGATGATACTGAGACATACACACATAGGCTGGACAGTAGAGTCATAGAGTCATACAGCATGGAAACAGACACTTTGGTCCAACCAGTCCATAGTCAACATAATCCCAAACTAAACTAGTCCCATCTGCCTCTTCCTGGCCCATATCCCTCCAAAGCTTTCCTATTCATCTACTTATTCAAATGTCTTTTCAAGTCCACACATGAACCACAGTCTGTGTAAAAAAAAATTGCCCCGATGTCTTTTTTAAAATCCCTCTCCTCTCACCTTAAAAATGTGCTCCCTTTGTTCCGTTACCCATTATGTACCAAAAATGTACAGAAGACACTGAGACACATGAAAGCTGATTCAATAACGAGAGACTGTTTCTTTACGTTATAGCATTTACTCGTAGCCTTCCTGCAGTAGTTGAGGGCTGCATTCCAGTTATTGAGATTGTTAAGGGCTCTACCGCCCTCTGCTGCTGCTATTCAGTCCATTCAACATGTCTTTTGGACCAGATAGTGTTACGATCCCTGTTTGGACCAATAACCTTTTCAAAAAATGAATTTCCGAAATGATGTAACAGAGGTAACCGATGAACAAGGTTTTACTTTTTAGAATCTTTACTGCAATAAGCAAACAAACCAAAATTAACACAATTCAAAATGTTAATTAATAGATAAAGGATGCTTCAAACACAAAAGTACATTTTACTTTAAACTGATACAAAAATTGCTAATGGGCAGGCATGCAGCATCAAGGACAGTCCCAAACTTTCTCCAAGAACTCTGGCAGTGGCTCACCACCTTCAGCCACCTGAGTCAAATCTTTAAAAGGGTCTTCCCCTACTGCTTCATTCTGTCCGAGTTTCCAGATGTGGTTATCGTCAGCAAGGCGCACTTCAAAACAACCTTTTCCCACTAGTCAACTCAGTCCTGATGGCACAGATTTCCAGAGCATCTTTTGTCCGACCCCTTGAATAAACTGTTAATTGGTCTAGTCAGCTCTGGTAAAGCCATCCACCACAAGAAACATTGCTTTCCCTCTGCTGTCAAGAAATTAGGTGTGAATGCCTTTCTTTCTGCAACTGTCCTGTGTCGAGCAGAATGGCAGCTATAACTCAATATCAAAAACTGGTTGTCCATTTGCTTTTACTTTAGCTAATTCTTAACTTCCATAGCAACTTAGGTCATTTTCAATACTTCGGCATCATTCCAAGCAAGCAATTTGGGTTATAAATTCCTTTCCCAAAACATAGTTAATTCTGAGCTTCAAAGGGCCTTCGCCATAGAGCAAATACAGGCTATTTTTTAAAAAAACACAATGTTTGTAAAGGTTGAAATTGTTTTAATTCTCCACAGCGCTCGCCAACAATAATATGGAGCCAAAACAGCTGCAGCACCTTAATTCAGATCTTCAGTACAGCAACTGTGTACACACCAACACTGCTGTTACCTGGGGAAACCAGAGAAACTCCTAGGAGGGAATCCTCAATGGGTATAGCGATAACACAGCATAGAGCTGGAGGAACACAGCAGGCCAGGCAGCATCAGAGGACCAGGAAAGTTGACGTTTCGGGTTGGGGCCCTTATTTTTCTGAAGAAGAAATGCCAACTTTCCTGCTCCTCTGATGCTGCTTGGCCTGCTGTATTCCTCCAGCTCCGCACTGTGTTACCTCTGACTCCAGCATTAGCAGTTCTTACTATCTCTAATCCTCAATGGGTATTTGGCCCTGGGCCACTGAATCCCTTGGAGTAGATTGATAGAAGAACCTGCTTATCAGTAGAGGTAGGAATTTGCAGGATTGTTCCAGTTTAACACTTTGAGATCCTAAAGTGCAATGTGCTGTATAAAAAGGAAGATTTGGATGTCTCTACTGTCTTTCTCCACCTGGGCAGGTCTGAAATTGCTTCATAGCCAATGAAGTGTTTTTAAAGTATAATCACTGTACTAATGCAGGGACCAGGGCAGCCAACCTGAGTACGGCAAGATTCATCAAGCAGCATTGCAATAGTAAAACATTTTACTTTGTAATTGGACAGATTATTATAAGCCAAGTGACCAGGAAAATATGTACACCTCTTCAAAATCGTGGCCATGGGCACCAATCTGAGAGGATGGACATGGCCTTCGGTCTGTTGTCTCATCTGATCTCTAATAAAAGTGCTGCATTCCCTCAAGGCAGTGCTGGCACTACAACAGTGAGTCAGCCTGTACTATGCACTTTAGTCTCTAGAGTGGGTCTTAAACAAATGACCTGTTGATTCAGAGAGGTAGGGAGAATGAGCTATTGCTAGTTCATGAAAAATGAAGGGTATACTCATTTGCTTTTACCCAAGTTACAGTAAATCCTTGAACTGTTTTTGGTGACAATCACACATGTCTCAATCTGCTGCCTCGCCTAATGTGTACCTTTGATGATTGAGTAAGGATAGCAGATTTCCTTTGTGGAGGACATTAGTGAATCAATAATTAAAACTGAAAGTGCTGGAGAAACCCTGAACATTTGTGGAGAGAGAAACAGAGTTAATGGTTCAAGTCCAGCATGACTCTTCTTCAGATGCTTCATACTAGTTTCAGGGGTACTGAGAAAAAAAGACAAATTAAGGATATCGCAAAAGATTGTGTTGCTCTTTAATCTGTCAATTTTGTGCAGCATAATATGGCAAGATCAGAAATGGACATTTAGACGTTTTTCCCCCACTCCTGCTCAGTTTTTATAACCCCCATGTTAAAGCCTGAAATGAAATTTTGCAGATGCTGAAAATCTGAGCTAAAATCAGAAAATGCTGGACGTGTACACATTCTGCCTGAGCTACAGAGCAGAGATTGAGTGAGAGACAGAGAAAGAAAAACTAAATTAATGTTTCAGGTTGATGACCCTGCATCAGACTAAGCCATCAAACTTCACTCACTAGATGTTGTTCGACCTGCTGACCTACTTTCAGTTTTTATTATCAAAATCTTTTACTTCTCCCCACCTTGGTTTAGACGTCTTCCAATTTCCCTGATTTATCAACATTGGGAATTGTGCAACTCTCTTGCAACCTTGAAAAATGTCCTATTTTTCCTTGGCAACAAGATTTTTCCCTTTGCTGTTTGCTCAACCATTTGATATTTGCTTTCTTTAAAAAAAAAACAGTTAGGTAGAATTCCTACAGTATGGAAGAAGGCCATTTGGCCCATTGAGTCCAAACTGACCACCCAAAATGCATCACACCCAGACCCAGCTCCTTACGCTATCCCTGGAGCCTTGAATCTCCCATGATTAATCCACCGTGCCTGCACCTTGTGGGCAATTTAGCACAGCCAACCCACCTAGCCTTCACATCTTTAAGCAGTGGGAGGAAACTGGAGCACCCACTGAGAATGTGCAAACACAACACAGTCAATGCCAGAGGGTGAAATCGAACCTGGGTCCACAGCGCTATGGGGCAATAGTGCTAACCACTTAGTCACCGTGCCGCCCACACTGGGCTGTCTGAAATTTAACCAAGATGGTGAATTCACTGCCTCAAAATCATGGATGGTATCCTGATCATCCATAAGGATCAGGAATCCGAGAGAAATGTTTTGTTCACAGAACACTGCAAATACAGAAACTGAAACTGCAGTAAGTAGTTGATGCAAATAGTGTAGATGCATTCCAGGGGAAGCTGTATAAACACAAGGGAAAAAAAATAGAATGACAGGATATGTTGGTGGGCTGGGAGAATGTTCATGTTGTGCTGCATTGGGTGGTTTCTACACTTTAGTTATTCTCTTTTTGATCGCTTAATAGATGCAAGGCAAGCAGAGCAAATTGAATGAACAGGGTGTTGTGATCTAGGTTGTACTCGACAAATCAGATTCCAGTGTGCAACCTGGCTTGATAGACCATAGGTTTTGTTTTTATAATCTAGTTACCTTGGTGTCCTGTCACTGAATTATATTCACATATTCAACCTGTCAATAAATAAGAAATACTTTTATTACATAGAAGAAAAGGAAAACACAAACAATATGTAAGACAATCATTATCTGATCATACAAACCAAAAACATTTAACACTTTTTTTCTCAGCTATATCCTTTACAGACACTCAACCCCACTGAAATATCACTCATTTGTTAGTTTCTTATTCAACTGAAGTTGCAAAAATTTCCTTTCAGCAACTTTCTATACATTCAGCAGACATGACTTTTTCTCCATCTCTCCTCAAGACTCAAAGACACAGGCTAACTCACTGACCTTTCTCAATGAACTTGAAGAAGAGTTCAGGGTTCTTTTCCCAGTCCTGTCTACTTTGATTGACAAAACAACTTGTGGCATGGTGGCTCAGTGGTTAGCACTGCTATCTCACAGCGCCAGGGACCTGGGTTCGATTCCACCCTTGTGTGGCTGTCTGTGTGGAGTTTGCACATTCTCCCTGTGTCTGCGTGGGTTTCCTCCCACAGTCTAAAGATGTGCAGGCTGGGTGGATCGGCTATGCTAAATTGCCCATAGTGTTCAGGGATGTGTGGGATACTCTGACGTTCAGTGTAGACTTGTTGGCTGAAGGGCTGTTTCCACACTGTAGGGATTCTATGATCTATGAACTCCAGACTTCCTTACAGTTCTGATAACCTGGAGACTGTTGGGACAAAATCGTTTTTCTGTTAATATGGATTTTTTCTCCTGAATGGTACCTACATGGGGCCCTTGCCATGTGCCACTCTCTTCTCTCAGTAAACACATTTCCCAAGCAGGTCCCCTGATGAGATACTTAGTTTAAGTTACGTGATTTCTTGAAAACAAAATTTTGATCAAATTGATTAAAAAACTTTCTCCCCTTTAAAAGAAAACAAATCACCTTCACAGAACTGAAACCAAAAAACCATTTTGCTCTACTTTAGAATTCTTGATACAAAATGATAATATTTTATAAATTTTTATCACGGGCATTATATGACAGACTGTTATGACAGATTTCTACCCATTCACCAATTAAAGCTTCTCTAGCTGCATTGTTTTAGCAGCAAAGCATCTGGCAGCTTGCAGGGAATTTTACAGCCACACAATAGTCAAAGTGTAGAAGGAGGTCATTCACCCTGTTGTGTCTGTACCAGCTCTCCCAGAGAACAATTCACTTAATAGTACTCTCCTTGTACCCCCCAACAAACCCACCATACCCCTGCCCATTTTTGCTTTACAAATAATGTTCCCTCTTGGATATTTTGATTGAACCTGCCTTCCCAAAGTTGCAGGCAGCACATTCCAACCTAACCCCTTGCTTGCATGGCAAACGTTTCTACTCATGTTTCCACTGCTTCTTTTGCCAATACTTCAAATCTGTGCCCTCCTGTTCTCGACACTTCCACCTTCTCTATATACTCTAATCAGGCCCCTCATGGTTTTCAACAACTCTATTAGATTGTCTCTCACCTGTCTCTTCTCCAAAAAGAGACCAAGTTCTCCAATCTATCCACGTAACCAAAGTAGTACTCAATTTGAATAACGTAGACATCCATGTAATTTCCAAATGTGTTTTATTTGTACATTCAAATGATGGACAGACTAATTCATAGAATCCCTAAAGTGTGAGAACAGGCCTTTGGCCCCAAACCAACCCTCAGAGCATCCACCCAGACCCATCCCCCAAAAACCCACCTAATCTACACATCCCTGAACACTATGGGCAATTTAGCATGGCCAATACACCTAGTCTGCACATTTCTGGACTGTGGGAGGAAACCCGTGCAGACACAGGAAGAATGTGCAAACTCCACACAGACAATCGCCGAGGGTGGAATTGAACCCGGGTTCCTGGCGCTGTGAGGCAGCAGTGCTAACCACTGAGCCACCATGCCGCCCATTTGTTATCTATTGTGATGGATATCGTGGTCTTTACTGATTGTTCCAGTCTTTTGGTTCACTTGATTTCCCCGTGGGAAGATTATGACAGAATTTTGAGGCTACTTCTGCACCTCTCTCTAAGCCTGATTTATTCTTTCCTTCCCTGTTTCTGTTCAATTGTTCACGAGACCCTAATGCCAAAGGTAACGGCATTTCTCTTTCTTGTGGTCACATTCTGGCAAGAGTGGTTTCTCTGACAGAGATTGCATGTTTATTTACGTTTGCTTTGGTAGAAGAGAAAAAGTAACCTAGGGATACAAATTTGATCTGGGTGACCCAATGGCAGTCGGTACCTACTTGCTGGCATCTCACACAATGGACAACCTGCAGAGTTTCTGCTTCTGCAGCAATAGCTCCTGTGGTTATAATGTGCAATACAGGTGGCACCACTCCGGCAAAAATCATTCCCTCTTCTGGCTGCTATTAAGCACATGATAGAGGGTGCTTCAAGCAGAAAAAAGGGGCAGCCTCCATTACACCACCTCACTGACTCGTTCCTCTTCTTTGGCCATCAGATGAAGCTACTAATGTTGCTGAATAACAATCTCAGGTGGGAGTAGCAGCACTGAATGTCAAGGGGCAGTGGTTAGATTGTCTCTTATTGAAGGTGGTCATTGTCTGTCACGAGTGCTATTTGCCACTTGTCAGGCCAAACCTGGACATTGTACAGGTCTCACTGCATTTGGACATGGACTGCTTCATTGTCTGAAGCATCATGAATGGTGCTGAACATTGTGCAATAATCAGTGAACATCCCCACTTCTGGCCTCAAGTAGGATGAAGGATCACTGATGAAGGCATTAATGCCTTCATGCAACATGTTCTGGTGTGGTAGGGAAATGTTGAAATGAGTTTTTCTTTCTTTTTAAATATTTACTCAAGAACGTCGCTGAAAATGTTTAACACAAGAAAAAAAAATCAAGAAGGAAGTGTAAAACATACAAAATTTATTATATATTCCAGAATGTTTTACAGTCAATGACAACTGTTTATAGTATATACGAATGACTTGGATGAAGAAAGTGAAAATATATCAGCCAAGTTTGCAGATGACACAAAATTAGGTGGGAAGGCAAGTGGTGAGGATGAAACAAAGAGTATACATAAGGAAATAGACAGCTTAAATGTGTAGGCAAAAACCTGGCAGATGGAGTATAATGTGTGAAAATGTGACGTTATGCATTTGGCAGGAAGAAAAAAGGAGCTGAATATTACTTAAATAGAGAAAGACTGAAGAAAGCTATGAAAACAAAGAGAATTGAGAGTACTCTAGTATCTAATTTCAGCAGTTAATAGGAAATACAAACAGAATGTTGGTCTTTATTTCAAAGGGAATGGAGTATAAAATTTTGCTAAAATGACTCGAGGAACTGGTCAGACCAAAACTGGAGTACTGTGTACAGTTTTGGTCTCCTTATCCAGGAAAAGTTTTACTGGCATTGGAAGCAGTCCAGAGAAGGTTCACTAGGCTGACACCAAGTATGGAGGGATTGTCTTATGAGGAGAGGTTGAGTAGGTTGGGCCTGTACTTGTTGGAATATAGAACAATGTGAAACATATAGGATTCTTGGGGGACTTGACAGGATAGATTCTGAGAGGCCCCTTGTGGGTCAGTGTAGGACCAGACAGCATAATCTCAGAATAAGGGGTCGTACACTTAAAACAGAGATGATGAGGAATTTCTTCTTTCATAGGGGTGTGAATCTGTGGATTCTATTCCACAGAGAGCTATCGAGGTAGGGTCTTTACATGTATTCATGGATGAGATAGACAGATTTTTAATCAGTAAGGGAATTGAAGATTATGAGGAAAAGACAGGAAAGTGAGGCTGAGGATCATCAGATCAGCCTTATTCTCATTGAATAGCAGTGCAGACTCAATGGGCTGAAGTGCCTCTTTCTGCTCCTACTTATCATCTTGAGTTGCAGCATGGTGACTAGGGCGGCACGGTGGCTTAGTCATTAGCACTGCTGCCTCACAGTGCCAGGGGTCCAGGTTCAATTCCGCCGCTGGGTTACTGTGTGTGGAGTTTGCGCATTCACCCTGCGTGGGTTTACTCTGGGTGCTCTAGTTTCTTCCCACAGTCCAAAGATGTGCAGGTTAGGTGGACTGGTCGTGGGGGTTGAGATGCTCTTTGAAGGTTCAGTGTGGACTTGATGGGCCAATTAGCCTGATTTCATGCTGTAGGGATTCTATGTGCGGTTTTTTTATTGTAGCTTCCACTGTAATGCCATAAATAGGAGAGACAATTCGTGCACAGCAAGCCCTGCAAACAGTACTGTAATAATGATTAGACATTTTTATGATATTAGTTATGATGGTGCTGTACCTTTAAGAAGGATTTGTTCTGTGCTGTTTCTTTTGCAGAATGGTGTTATCACCCTGGAGACAGAACGTCTGCTTCAGAAGCAGTGAGTAAACAGCTTTGAGCTACCTGTGTGTTTTTCTAAAAACATAAGTGGGTGGAGTCAGGCTCTTGCAGACCCAAGGCTTCAGTTTTGCTTTCAGTTGAAGTTGGAGCTTGAAGCTGATAGATACAACTCTCTCTGCCGCAGCTAAAAGTTTGAATTCTTTCTCAATGGCTAGCATGTTTGATTCAGTGTTCCTTTCTCCTGGATGAGATAGCATGAGAGACAATCTGTTTTGCTGAATTTGCCTTTGTCAAGGGTGTTTATGGAATGCCGCTATATTGGAACAGTTGATGATTATTGGTTAAATAATATATTCTTTTGTTAAATATTTCAATAGAGTTAAAGTTATGCCAATTCTTCTCCCTTTTGTTTGTATTTTAACTGTGGTGTAAGACTAAAGTGTGCTCTGTGTAAAGCCGAGTAATTTGACTAATTGGAACACAGCACCTTACATTTGCCTTTAAATAAGATAACAGTTAAGGTCTAGGTGATCTCCTTGATATGTTTTGAGGGAATTCGGTCTGGTCCATAACAAAGCTTGGGCATAAATATTTGACTGGGGCACCCCCTGCTTTACCTCTTCATCCAGTTGTGGCAACAGGATTTTTTTTTACTACCACTTGAAGTGTCCAAACAGTGTCTTAATTTAAAGTCACGTTCAGAAAAACAGCACCTCTGACACTGCAGCATTCTCCCAAGTACATGGAATCATGGAGCAAAGGTACTCAAATCCACAAACTCCTGAGGAGAGACCAACCAAACCAAGCTGGCAGTTTGCTACAAAATTGCATTTGGCAAAGAAAACAAGAGGAAGAAAGAAAGGGGGTAAGGTGGGAATTGATGGAAATGCAGTCCTCTCCAAATACTTACCCCATATTATGAAGCTAAGTTCAAAGTGCTCTCATTGGAAACAAATGCGCCCTTTAAAAAAAAAGAGAATTGCACAAATGGGGCCAAACGAAAAAAAATCCAGTCACAACCCCTTTAAGTGACCAACTTTTGCTTCTTTCAAAAAAAACCCGTTTAGCTCTTGTGTCGGGGAAGGGGAAAAAAGAGGCAAATGGAAGTTTTATGAAAAATCATGAGGTAAAGTATTGTTTATTATTCCCTCTCTTACCTCCTCTCCTGGACTTGACTTCGTGGCACCGATGATGAAAGCGGGGGAGGGCAGCCGTCGCCTGTTGGCGGGTGGGGGTGGGACGGGCACGGGGGAAAGGGAACCACTACGCGCACGCGCGCCGACCCACCGAGCTCGGTGCCTGCTGCGACGTGCCTTTGATGGGCAGGGCTGCCGACCAATGGGGGACGGGGTGCGCGCGGGAGGAGGCGGGACGTGGTGACGGGTGACGTGGAACGCCAGCGGGTTCGGTGGAGAGGGCACGGCGGTTTCGAAAGGGGCAGGAGGGGGACACTAACAGTGACAGATACACACACACAGAGGCAACAGTGTGCTCGACCCCTCTCTCCAACAACACCAGATTGTCGCCGGCCATGGCTCAGCACATCAGCTACCGGCAGCGTAAGTGTCTATCTGTGTAAATATATCCCCCCTCCCCCATAGTGCTATCTAAATTGGGGGGAGGATTGGGTGGGGGTGGGGATGGTCTGAGGGAGCATTTTGAGGTGGTAGAAGGGGGACCGTGAGGAGGTACTTTTGAGGGGTGGGGGAAGAGAGGGATTTTGTGTGTGTATGTGCACATTTTAATGGAGGGCGTT